TCGACTGTTACGTTGGCCACCTCATCCGCACGAGTGGAGCCATTGGCCAAGCTAATTGGTGTGTCGCTGACACAGCGGTTGGAAGCCTTTGCTGACTTCAGCATGCTCTCACTGATGAGGTCTTGCTCACTACCGGTATCAACTAACCAAACACAACCGTCTTTCGACGCAGGTGTTGCGACTGTTGGCAAGTCAGTATTGCTAATCTTGTTCTTGGGACCAATCAATGACCGCCTACAATGATTGCATGATGTTTCACCCTCTTCGTCATTGCATCGGAATCGGCATTTGGGCTGCGGATCACAGTTGAAGAGCTTGATGATCTCTTGCAGCTGGCGTGCAACAACCTGGGCACGATGAGCAACCAACCTGTCAGGCTTGGGCACTGACTCCGCTGTGGGATAGTTGTTGTCATACAGCCGAGGCTTATGCACAACTTTTCGTTGTTCACCAGTTGCGGGGATCTTGATGTACTCCACTTTTGATGAGAACACAACAGCTGTGTGACACTGATCTTTCATGGCTTTTGTAGCCTTTGGCAACCCTTTCCCCTTTGCGATACATGCATACCTTTGAGTAATGCATGGCGCAGCTTTTGCGGTGCAGGGCTATTGGTACGTTTTGAATTCCTTTGTGGGAGCAGCTGCATTTTCGTGTTTATAAAAACACTTGTCACCACGACGACACTTGCCCTGTTGGAAGTAAGTGCATGGGGCTTTGGCCATCTCTTCCCTTGACATCTTTGAGGGGGATCTACTCCTGCCATTGTTGCCCTTACCCTTCCCTTTCTTCTTGGGGGTACCAGATCTTGAGGTGTCTTTGACATGCTTGTAGGGACAGCCTTTGCCCTTTTCACACTTTCCATCCCTAAACTTATAACATATCTTGTCACCCTTTGCATGCCGCGATCTTTGCCCCCCTGAGCGGGTGCAGCGGGCTGGTCAGTCTGCTTGTTCTTCTCCACTATCCGATTTCTATTGGACCTGAGTCTTTCTCTACCCAACATGTCTCGAATGTTTCTGAGTAAGAAGGCATATGACTTTTGCTCTGACTTTTCGGGAGCTCTGTCGAATGCTTCAATGTCACGTCATACTTCATGAGTTGGCATTTTCTGATTTGTCGGAGTAAAATGTCCCTAAGAACCAGATCATCGGGAGGAGTCTCCATTCCAGCCATTGTGGCATCCCATCGGTTAAGAAACCTTCTAAGGTCCTCCACTGACTCTCCCGTCCTAACGACTCCTAACAAGTCCTCGACACGGTAGAGACTGCCGGCTTCCTCAGACGTCCTGAAGTAATCCTCAAACATCAAAAGGACTCTCCTTCCTCTGACCTGAATTCCTTTCTTGGACTTTTCATCTTTGAAGTTGTGAATCTTTGTTGTTAAGTCACCTTTGGCTGAGCGAGCTAACGCTGCCGACAACTTGATGTCAAGTGTGATGAACTTGCTCGGTTCCTGCAGCTTCTCCTCCCGAGGTGTCTTATTGTCAAAGACTTCATTGAGTGCCAGATCCAAGCCTCATCGGGCTTGTCCGAATATGACTTGACCTCGTCCCGAACGTGGTTACGCCAGTGGCGATAGGCCTCAGGAGCGGGCATGTCATTTAGCTTGATAGTCCTCTTTGGTTCGGGGCTTTTCACCATCTGAATCCTTTGAAGTCAGTCTAGTGATGAGATCTAAAAGCTGTTGTCCGGAAAGGCCACCGACTACGTCGGCACCTTTGAGCTTTTCAGGCTCGCTAGCTGCAATTGTTGGGCTTCGCACACTTGGTTCTTGATTCGCATTTTCTTCTTGGGGTCTCTGCACGGGTAAGTTTGGGAGCTTTGGAGGTGCTACTGATCCTGCTGGGGTAGTGGAGAACAAACTGTGCAATTTCTCCCTAGCATCGGCCGCTAAGTCCGTCATTGCCATGTTAGGCATGGGTGTTGCTCCAGCCTTCGCTCTTGCTGACTTTGGGGTCGCAAACATCTCCAACTGGACATCACCTGGACCTTGGTCGAGCTCCTCAATCCTGAGTTCGGGGGCACTATATTTGGCGAGTTTCTCCACCAATTCATCTACCCTTTCTGGGAGCTGAAAGTTGAGTTCAGCGGCTTGCAATTCCTGCCTGTTGCACTCATCTCTCATCTCCTGGATCACAGATTGTTCCTCTTGCTTAAATCCTTCCATGCCCTGTCTTGCATACTCAACCGTTTCATCTACGATCTTTTTTGCAATCTGCCTCGAGGTTTCCTGTGAGTTCAGTGTATCTGCTTTCATACTGGCTAGCTAAGTGTGAAACCTTTTGGTTTGCTCTTTGCTTAGCTTCCAGTGCAACTGCATTTGCAGCATTCTTTAGTTTGGCGTTTGCCTCACTAAGTTCTTTCCTCAAATTCAATACCTCTCGTTCAGCTACTGTGCGACTGTGCGAGACATCGCAAATCCAGTGAGTTCTGAGGCCATCTGTTCATGTCGGTTTTCGGCTTCTGCACGCTGTCGCGCAAGTTCGCTAAGGCATACTTGCTCAAACTCCTGGTGCAGTTGCTGGACCTTTTGTTCCATGACCTGTGCATGTCTTTCCTCAGCTTCGCGTCTTAATGCATCAATGTTACCCTCATTTATGTAGGTAAGGTTGTTTTGCACAAATTGGAAATACGCCTGGACTGGTTGGTAGAAAAACCCTTCATCAACAGTCATGGGCGTGGGATTTACTCCAGCCGCATTGGACGCTGGAGCTCCAGTGTTTGCAGGCACCATAGACCCTGTTGCTGGGACCATTGCACCACCAATACCAGAACCATCCCCGGGTAGTCTCTCCATGGCTTTAGAGACTACGGCTGATAACCTGAATTTTCAGGTTTCAGCTGGGGTTATGCCTATAACGCCCAAGTAGACTGATAAACCTAAAAGGAATGCTAAACACCGTTAAGCGCAGCGACTCTAGCTACTTTTTGCCTGAGCCGCATCAGCTGTGGTACATGCTATATTACATGGTGTTATACCCAGGGTGCAAATACAGTTTAGTCATGGGCACAGACAGAGTCAGTCACCTGAGTCAAGTCGCCCCAAACGTCCGAGTCAGTAACCCCATAGGGCAAAGTCAGTCGCGGGTGAACATTAGCACAGGATGCAGGGAAACTTTGAATGGGAGACAGAGAGTCAGCAACCAAGAGTCAGTCACCCCTCGGAAGCCGGGAGGAGGATGAAGGAAACCGGAGGAAAACAGAAAGTCAGCAACAAAGAGTCAGTCACCTGGAAGAAGGACCCAGGAACCCCAAGAAAACAGAACGTCAACAACAAAGAATCGGTCACCCCAACAAAGAGTCAGTCACCCCTGAAAGCTATCTAACTATCTATCTAATCTAATCTAATCTAGTCTAGTCTAGTCTAGTCTAATCTAATCTAATCTATCAAGGAACCCATGGGAACATGGAAAAACGGAAAGTCAACAACAAAGAGCCCCCCAAGAAACCTTAACGCAATCCTGAAGAAACCCTAAAGCAACACTACGTAAATCCTAAACCAACCCTCACGCAAACCCTCACAAAATCCAACATTAACCCTAAACAAAATTTAATTAAACCCTACAACCCTGAAACAAACCCTACAGAAACCCTAAACCAACCCGCAGTCAAACCCTGACGAAACCAAAATTTCACCTTAAGCCAAACCTAAATAAACCCCTGAATAAATCCAAAACCAACACTAAGCAAACCCTAAAGAGACCCTAAAACAAACCTTGACGAAACCCGACATTAACCATTAACCCGAAGCTAACCTCAAATAAAACCTAAACCAAGCCTGACTATACCCCACACCAAGCCGAAATAAACCCTAATCCAACTTTCGCACAAACCCTGATGAAACCCTGACTTGACTTTAACCCAACACCCTTAAAAACCCTAAACCAGGCCTAAATAAATCCCAAACCAACGCTAAGGAAACCCTAAGCAACACGAAGTAAAGCCTAAACCAACCCTCACGCAAACCCTGACAAAACCCTACATCCTCCCTAAACCAATCCTAAATAAACCCTACGACCCTAAAACAAATCCTAGAGAAACCCTAAACCAACCCTCAGTCAAACCCTGGCGAAACCAAAATTTCACCTTAAGCCAAACCTAAATAAACCCCTGAATAAATCCAAAACCAACACTAGGCAAACCCTAAAGAGACCCTAAAACAAACATTGACGAAACCCGACATTAACCATTAACCCGAAGCTAACCTCAAATAAAACCTAAACCAAGCCTGACTATACCCCACACCAAGCCGAAATAAACCCTAATCACCTAATCCAACTTTCGCACAAACCCTGATGAAACCCTAACTTAACTTTAAACCAACCCTTAAAAACCCTAAACCAGGCCAAAATAAACCCCAAACCAACGCTAAGTAAACCTTAAATAGACCCTAGACCAAACCTTGACGAAACCCTACATTAGCGCTAAACCAACCCTAAATAAAACCTAAACCAAGCCTGAATATACCCTGAACCGTATGTTGAGTTGTATGCAAGAAAGGTCAATGAGCAATCATCTGAAGAGCCAGTGCCTGAAAGAGACATGCATGTTGCATGTTTGAAAAAAACATGCATATATACACTCTATACATATATATTTAAATATATATATATATATGGAAATGGAAGCACGCCGCAGTGCAGTCACCCCTCGCCCTCAGTGGGGGGGGCGGAGGGTGACTGACTCCGACGTGGGGGGTGATTGACTCACTGTGCTCTGACTCTGTCAGTGGGTGACTGATTCCATCTGCTCTCGTTGGGTCATTGTTGTTCCTAAACTATCCCACGGCCTCATTTGATACCATCATGCACGGTCTCATCCCTAGATCTGTGCAGTTTCCAGGTCTACCACTACGTACAGAGGTTTTTCTCAAGAAACGCCAATGAGTTTTACACGAGTTAACTCCTGGTAATCACCATAACAAAACATGCCACACCCGAACATCAACAAATCTGGAAACGCTATGCCAGGTGCAAATCTCGAAAGATTTCGTCGGTC